GATCAGGCAGTGTTTCGTTCTGCTGTGCATGGGGTCGTTATGAGTCAGAAACGACTCGATGGCACGTAACAACAACAACAACATGGTTGTCTGATTCAAAATGGCCCACAGCCATCTGTTTTAGCTCACTAATGCGTAGGATATTGATCTTTATGCATTCCATTTCATTTTTGACAACTTCCAATTTTCCTAGATTCATACTTCATACATTTCATGTTCTGATTATTAATGGATGTTTACAGGTGTTTCTTCCCATTTTCAGCCATGCCACATCAGGAAATGGAGGTCCTGAGAGCTTTATTCCATCTACATCATTAAGGTCAGCTCTACTCTGAGGAGGCAGCTCTACCCCAATCACATCTTGAGTGCCTTCTCACCTGAGGGGCTCATCTTCTGGCACTATATCAGACAATGTTTCAGGACTATTCATAAAGTTTTCCAGTAGTATATCAGGCATTGCTATTCATAAGGCATTCACTGGCCAATTCTTTGAGAAGTGGATGACCCCTTCCTTCTTCTGAGCCTGTCTTTGCCTGGAAGCTCCAATGAAATCTGTCCACCATGGGTGACCCTGAGGGTATTTGAGATACCTGTGGCATAGCCTCCAGTCTCACAGCAACATGCAAGCCACCACAGTATGACAAACTGACAGATGAGTGGTGGAGTTTCAACTAGATATAAACATAAAAACATGTAGTGATGTTTCCCAAAAGTTTTAAGAACTAAGATTTACATTCTATTAAATATTAATGTATACATTTTTGAAAATGAAAAAGACATCAAGTACAATCCAGTAATTTCTCTCTTCAAATGTGATAGGTGTGGGAATCTGGGGAATCATTCTACTTCTGAAATTTTCCCCAGCAGTTTGTTATTATGAAATTGAGAGAGCCCCCCGCTGTACTAGAACTCTTTTACATGGGCATGCTAACTGGAGGGCCACTTTGAAAACAAAACAGTTTTACAGAAGTACTCACATCACTCTGGTTTTTGGCTGTCTTCAAAGAGTGCAGCATCTTGGGATCATCATTAATGCTAAGGGCTCCAATCATTTTCCCTTTGCTTTTTTCATAGTCTCTCTTGTACATCACCTGCAACAGCGTCACACATGTGAGTGAGGTCCCATTCATCAGGAAACATGTCTGAGGCCCCTGCCGCGGACACTGGGGATACTCACATCGCTAGCATTTCTGCTATTGGCTTTGGCTGCCAGCAGGGGAATGGCATCCACTTTAATGTCAAACTTCTTAGCTTTGCTCTTCTCCCAGTCATGCTTGTAAGCATTCTAGACAGAAATATATTAGCGAAGAAATTATAAGAACAATATCTAACACAAATTAATCCAGTAAAAATAAAAGAAGAAAACAGAAAGACATTTTATGTATATAGAATTATTTCACCTACAAATGTATATTTACCAAATGACAATGTAACTATTGATTCATTTATCATCCAGCTTCTTCCTCTCTTTCACTAAGTAAGTATAATAAGTTTTCTAATGATCTATGAACTATCTGAAGACTCTGTTCTCCTGTTGTATAAAGGATAGTATAAAATGACAACTACATTGAGAATGTGGAATGTGATATTTACATAGAAAATATCATGTAAAACTCTTGGGATTAGCAGAGGGATATTTGAGAGATATATCTGATCATTAAAGCCAGTGAAAATGAAATCTAATGGCTAAGTAAAAGCCAGTTCGTTGGACCTTAAAAGTTCTACTTATAACAACCTCAATGGCTGTTTATTTGCATAACTCCTAATCCAGTCTTTTGAACTCCTACAACATTTCCTCTTTTCACATAGGCTTTTGTGTTTTGGGTACTTACATCACTTAGGTTATAAGCATTGACTCTATGTTGGATAAATTGTGGAGCATCTGCTGGTACATTGCACTTGAATTTCTCACTTTCATGTTTTGCTTTGTAATTCAGCTGAAAAAAAAAAGAAGAAAAGGTAGGAAATTCCTTGAATTTAGGCAGAACAGTATAGATGGTCAGGGATTATCTGGGTAGACCAAGTGGTTAAGTGCTCAACTACTAGCTAAAAAGTTGGTGGTTCAAATCCACCCAGAGGCACCTCAGAAGACAAGCTTGGTGATCTGCTTCCAAAAGACCATTGCCTTGAAAACACTATGGAGCAGTCTACTCTGCACACATGGGTTGCCATGAGTTGGAATCAACTTGATGGGAACTAACAACATAGATGGAAAGATAGATAGATAAGATTAATAGATGGATAGATAGATAGATAGGTAGATAGATAGATAGATGGAGTGATGGATAGATGGATGGATAGATGGATGGATGGATGGATGGATGGATGGATGGATGGATAGACAGACAGTTAGATAGGTAGATAGATGGGTCATTAGTATATGTTTTTAGAAAAATGCCTTAAATTGATGCTAGTTGAAGTACCATATAGGGCCTCATCACCTGAAAGACAACACAAGGCCCAAATCTAATCTCCAATTTCACTGGCTGTGGCATAACCAAACTGTGAGTTGCCATTTTGTAAACACTATCACAGTGTAGATGGAAAACCTATTGTCTGATATGAATCCCTAAGCTGTGCCTTGAGGGCATGACAACTCAAAACCTCTAAACTCTGTAATTAAAGCACTAACAAAAGCAATACTGATTCCAAATAAAATACTAACACAATTAAGATATGTAAATTCTTATTGTATAAAATACCCTAACTATAGAACTCATTTAAAATTATTTAAAAGTTAGAATGGAGGACAAGAAAGAAAGGAAACTGTTGAATTCTAGAGCTAAGGGCAAACACATAAGATGGAGGGGAATAGTGTAAAAAGCACCTTCAAGACAGAGCCCGTGGAATACTTGGGCCAGGAAGAAGAACAAGTAGTGAACAGGCACATGTACACAGTACAGTATTCCTCACAGGTTGTTGACTTGTACTGGCTCAGTTTCAATTGTGTTTAGCTGTTCTTTCTCAGTGCACAAAATATTAACCTGTTAGGAAAAGTTGCTTATCAACCTATGCAACTTCCGAGTTACATTTATAGTAGGATGAGTTGCATATTTCGTTTTCCTACCAAGAAAACATATGTTACACTTGAGGATTTTGCTGTGCTGGCACATTTTGCTGTGTGTGTTTGTGGTCCACCAACTGACCAGCATCATCATCATCATCTGGGAATATTGAATCCCATGTCAGACCCAGTGGACAGAATCTGCATTTTAACAGTGTCCCAGGTGATCCACATGCCCATAAATGTTTGAGATGCGCTGCTACTCCTCTCATCCTGGCATGGCTGGCCCGTTCCTGCCTTTGATCTTCTTTAACACATCCTCTCCCCAATGGAAAGTGCCTGTTCACTCACTCCCCCTCACCTCACCCTATTTTAATTCTTTTTCATCAGCCTATGTTAGTTTTCTTACCATTGCTGGTTGCCTTTCTGATTTCTATGCTCTCATTCTTTGTTTAAAGTCTTGTTAGCAAACCAAGAATAGAAAATACTTGCCTTGTTACCTATCCAAGGGGATACTTTTGTGGTCATAGTTCACTAAAGTTGGCATGAAATTTTAGGGTGCATTATATTTGTTATATAATGGATTCTAATGAGTAAGTAAGGTATTCCTAAGACAAATCAGTAACTTATTGAAGAAATATTAGCTATTTATTATGGTCTAATACTGTTTTTCCTGAGGCAGCATTATTGGCATTGTATTAAACAAGTCTTGAAAAATAACATTATTGAGACAGTGGATAAACCCATGAAGATTAAGTCCTTAAGTACTTATGTTTTAAATAAGTAAAACATTCTGGGTAACCCATTCCAGGATAAATCAAGGCACTTACATCACTAAGCTGTTTCGTATTGAGCTGGGCTTGCAATAGTACGGGAGAATCAGTGACGGCCGTGAATTTTGTCTTATCTGGATGAACTTTGTAGGTATGCTGAGAAAGAAGATGTTCTTTAATGAAATTTCTTAATGCATCTTTATTTTCTTATTGCTGTACATACTAACATGTGAATTTTTTTTCCACCAAAGCAAATATCGCTTGTTTCTTTCTTGAAATCTTGCTTTATATGCTTTCACCTCTCCCTCCCTCTATTTTTTTCTCTCCTTCTTTCTCTCCTGCATTTGCTTCTAAATTGGTCTCCCTGCTATTATTCAGCAACCTAATTAGTCTTTCCGCTGCTTAAGCCTTACAATACAAATATCACTGTGTTTGGTATTTAATCTGGACTACTTGGCTTACAAGCCCACATGAGTCAATCCCTCCTTCATCTCCTACCACTTTACCTCCTATGACTGTCTACCTCCCTGATACGTTCCAGTCATCTAATCCTTTGAATTCCTTAAATGTAAAGCTCTTCCCCTGGTTTTGGTGTGGTTAGACCATTACTGTTTCAACCTTCCTTGACCAGTCGATGTCAAGTGCCTACTCATTTACTCACTCACTCTCATATCATCCTATTTTAATTCTGCATCTTTATATCCTATATTAGTTTTATTAGTATTGCCTGATGTCTATCTGGCTTCCTGGTTCTCTTTCCTTGGTTAGTATCTGTGTTTCTCACTAGAATGCATGCTCCATGAGAAGCAGGCATGGTTTACGTTGGGCTCTGCTGTTTTCCAGCACCAAGGACAGTACCTTAGATGGTTAGACCCTTAACATAAACCTGTTGAATGAATGAACATCTATTTCTCACAAACTTCTACAACCTTCCTTTGTCCTATATCCATTACTTGAACTAATGGAAATAAAGATTTTTAAAACCCGAACTTATTATGTAACAAATACTTTTCTTCATAGTAATATATGTATTTTCCACCCAAAAACTAAGCTTAAATTTAATAACTCCTGTTAACCACTAGATGCTAACATTTTAACTCCTGCTCCATTTGCCACTAGATGTCACAAGAATCCCAAGCCCAGTTTCAAGAATTCAGAGCAGCAGACTTACATCTTTACACTGGTCTAGCTTCTTGATTGCTTCATATTCTTGCGTTATTGTCTGAGGGAAGTAGCATTTCCCTTTATCTTCTTCATATTCTGCTTTGTAACTCTTCTACAATGAGAAAGAACAAAAGTAGATCACAATTGTCATCGCTCCCAAACAACGTCACTGTGAGGCATGAACAATTGTCTTCAAACTTACGTCACTATTTTGGGCAGAAACTTTCATGCAGTGAATTTGATATGGGTCTTCAAAGCTGCCCACATAATGTCCTAAGATATTGTTTACATAATGATCTTTATATTTATTCTGAAAAAGAAAACACATATAACCCAAATTACAATTATTTGCCAAACAAAAGGAAAGTCCTCCAGCCCCAGAATTAATCATGCTTGTCCCAACCTCACTGAAGTTCTTCAGCAGAGTGTCAAGTTGATATTTAGGAGTCTCACAGTAATTCATGCTCTTTGCCTTTGTCTTCTCATAGTTTTCCTTGTATAATCTCTGTCAAAGGGAGAAGGAAATTAAGGAAAGACAATAAAAGAAAAATATACCTCATAGAGCAAAATGCATGTCATTCTTATCTTTTAACCAAAGGGCCATATTTTGTTTTTTTCAGCATTTATTTTCCACAAAGCAGAAATACTGAATGAGTATGATAGAGGCTCATATTTTCTATTACTTAGTCTTCTGAGTACCATACAAACATTTATGTAACTAGTTCTAATATGTATCAGACTGAATAAGTTAGAGCACACCAATGCTGCCATCTAAAAGTTTTATCTTAAAGCAATTATTTCCGTTTGAACATGCTGGAAGGAAAATGAATTTTTTAATAGTTACCCTCTGGTAGCATAGTGGCTAAGACACTTGCCTGCTAACCAGATGGCTGGCGGTTCAAACCCACCAGCCACTCCTCGGAAGGAAGGTTGGGCAATCCTACTTCCGTAGTGATACTGCCTCGGAAACCCAAGGAGGGGTCGCTATCAGTCAGGGCTGACTTGACGGCACATAACAACAACAACAACAACTAGAGTGAGGTATAAGGTGGACTTAAGATATTTAAACAGAGTCCCAGGAAAGCATTCAGTAAAGCATTTGATGAAAACACTTTTTCCATTCACCTCTAGAAGTTGGCTTTTGTCATTAATGTCTGCCATTTTACTGTATATCAATAATACAGGAAAAGATGGCTTTCTCTATTTTACTGCATCTATCACATATATCAGCCCCAGGCTTACAGGTTACAGGTTACAGGTGAGGAGAGACAACTCAGGGACGCCCTAAGTAACAAGCGGGAAGAGCAGGAGAAAGGGGATTAAAAGCCAGGAAGCCAGAGAGAAGAGCAGTCAGCCGAAGGGATTAGGTGAGGAGAGGCAACTCAGGCCCGCCCAGAGTAGCAGGCCAGAAGAGCAGGAGAAAGGGGATAAAAAGCCAGGAACCCGGACAGAGGAGCAGTCAGCCCCAGGGACAACTCAGGGAAGCACAAAACAGCAGGGCAGAAGAGCAGGAGAAAGGGGATTAAAAGCCAGGAAGCCAGACAGAGGTACAGTCAGCCACAGGGACCCAGTTGGGGGTGATACGAGAGGTCTCCAACAGCAAGACAAACTTGTCTGTCGGTTTGTCCTACTGTGGTGACATGTAGACTTGAGTTTTGAGGCTGAGCCTCTGGTGTTTAAAACCCAGCGAGATGCACCTGGTGCACAGATAACAGCCCAGCTTATAGACTGAGACAGACTAGGAAGAAGGAAGAGGCCGTTCACTTCTCAAAGAATTGGCCAAGGAAAACCTTATGAATAGCAACATCACATAGTTCTTCAAATCTCTTTTAATTCTCCCATATAGAAATGCAAAAATATACTCAATAAACACAAAATTATTTGTGAATAATTTTAGTATATTTATTTTGCTGTTAATTAGAAAAGCAATTTTTATAAAGAGTTTAATTTTATTTTAATAAATATTTTAAAGGAGCTCTGGTAGCATAGTGGCTAAGACACTTGACTGCTAACCAGAAGGCTGGTGGTTCAAACCCACCAGCCACTCCTCAGAAAGATGGGGCAATCTACTTCCATAGTGATACTGCCTCGGAAACCCAAGGAGGGGTCGCTGTGAGTCGGATCTGACTCCATGGCAAATAACAATGACAACAAATATTTTAAGGCATTTAAAATTATATAATTATTAAACAAAAATTTTAAAATGCTTTGTTTGTGAGCTTATGCTTCACCAAACTTCTCCTACTCTATTTGTCCTTAGCTTGATTTTCTCATTTCTTGCTTTTTCTCTTTCTGTATATATGTACTTTTGCAAACTACCTTAAATCAAATCAGAGCTTGGAGTAAATACTTACATGCACATGTAAATATATTTATACATGTTGAAATACTGAGCCTATTTCTAGGTAAAACAATAAAGAAAATTATAGTGTGGTACATTTTCTTTCCTGATAAGTAAGGGGCATTAAGGAAATTAAGGAAACCTTTTTGATATTCACTGGAGTCCCAACATGTCCCATGTGCAGTCACATAAATAAGAATGTGGAGGTTAATCTTCCTTTCCCACTTGGGCTTTCATGTTTGATTTGTCTTCCTAAATCTAAGATTTCAAATGGGTTAACATCCTTTCCAAGGTTACAGTAAACAGAAAATACAGCCACATCTGAAAAGAAGGGTGATTATAAAGATACTCACATCACTCTGGTTTTTGGCCGTCTTCAAAGAGTGCAGCATCTTGGGATCATCATTAATGCTGAGAGCTCCAATCATTTTCCCTTTATTTTTTTCATAGTCTTTCTTGTACATCACCTGCAATGACATTACACATGTGAGCAAGATCTTACTCATCAGGAAGCATCCCTGAGGCCCCTGACATTGGGCATACTCACATCACTAACGTTTCTGCTGTTGGCTTTGGCTGCCAGCAGGGGAATGGCGTCCACTTTAATGTCAAACTTCTTAGCTTTGCTCTTCTCCCAGTCTTGCTTATAAATATTCTGGACAGAAAATTGTAGCAAAGAAGTTGGCAAAAGTGCTATGCATGTCATCACATTTTAAAGACTAAAGGACAATTAAGTATCTTGTCTTAATGTAAAATAGGAATCCCTGGGTGGTTTAAATGTTTAAGTATTGGACTACTAACTTAAAGCTGGGTGGTTCAAAGCCACACAGAGGACCCTCATAAATAAGCCTGGCGATCCACATTCAAAAGGTCACAGCCTTGAAAACCTTACGGAGTGCAGTTCTTCTCTATACACATGAGGTTGCAATGAGTTAGAATCAACTCACTGGCAGACAACAATATAAAATAAAATTTTAAAACTCAACACACATTGCCAGTGAGTTGATTCCAGCTCATAGTAACCCCACAGGACAGAATAGAGGTGCCACATAGGGTTTCCAACGCTGTTATCTTTATAGAAGTATACTGCCACATCTTTCTTCTGTGGAGCGGGTGGTGGGTTCAAACCAACAACCTTTCATATAGCAGCCAAGTGCTTAAACACTGTGCCACAAGGGTCCTTTATAAAATAAAAATAGATCTTTTCTACCATTTGAGAGAAAACATGCACATTTTAGATAATTTTCCTCAAGCTGGAGCTTCTAATTCTCCAAAATCAGGCTTCTCTACTCTCCATTTGAGTTTCTTATCAAATCAACTTATTTCTAATTATTGTACTAATATTTGATTCCTAATACTGAATATGCTGTAGAGTGGTACAAATATTCTACAGTTAATATACCTTTTTGGACATAAAGGCATTACTTTCATTTGATCTCTATGTCCTTTGCAAATGTTATTTCATGAATCATTACAATCATCGTTGATGCTTGATAATCTCAGGGCTCATTTACAGAATTCTTAAAGAAATAGATCTCCAAGGGTAATTTGACTTTTCCATAAAATTAAGTTCAGACAATGGATACAATGGATACCTAGCCTTATGCCTTTTGAATAAATACTCTATGTCTTCGTAATTACAAGTTCTCTTACATGTAGAAATATGTATCATTAGAATAAAATAAGGGAAATTACAAGCCTGGAGAATAAATGAAATGGAATTTTATCTAAAAAAAATTAGTAAGTTTTTGAGAAAAAGATTAATTGGAATATGGTATACATGAATATATAGCTAAAAGATCTAACATTAAGGCTCACAATTACTTGAAGATGGTGGCATTTTGAGAATTGTTTAAAATGTATTAAACAAAAAACAAAACTCACTGCCATTGAGTCAATTCCAACTCATAGCAACCCCCACTGGGTTTCCTAGGTGGTAAATCTTTCCAGAAGCAAATAGCCCCATCTTCTTCCCATGGAGCAGCTGGTGGGTTTGAACCACCTACCTTCTGGTTAGCAGTCAAATGCCTTAGGCACTACACCACAAGAGCTCCTTTTTTGTAAAATGTATTGATAGTCTAATTGTACAAAGCTACTTAAAATTTTATAAGTCATTCAAATGGTTACATTGGTTGAGGCACAGGAACGTGATACAAGTGTTACAATGAAATATTATTATTAAATATTATTAATATTGAGATAATTATTTAGTTAGGGATTCAAAAATAAAAGCAGAAGTTGTCAGTATATCACATGGCATAGAGCACAAAGAACTTACATCACTCAGGTTATAAGCATTGACTTTGTGCTGAATGAGGGCAGGAGTATCTGGGGGTAGATGGCACTTGAATTTTTCATTTTCATGTTTTGCTTTGTAATTTAGCTGAGAGCAAAAGAGAGAGCAAAAGAGAGTGTCAGTCAGTTCAGAAGAAGTATTATTTCAAAACACAAAAAATAGTGTGTGATACATTTTGCGACATCTGGGAAAGTTGTTTGGATCAAAAGAGAGATCCAGAGCTTGGATAGATCACTCTGCATTATTTACATCCTATGTGCTGGACATTTGACAGTGTTGTCACGTGTGTCGCCATGGCAGGGTCACAGTGGAATGAAGTTGCTCCTTCATATTCTTTCTCCTCCGTGGATATAACAACTGGCCCTGTAGATTCTGAGAGCCGCACAGCTCTTTCTTCCTTTTCATTGTCAATGTTCATCTTCTAGAGAATCTTCCCTAACAAATCTGGTTGTGTCCCCGCGTGTACATTATGATTTGTTGATACTCTAGTTGAAGTCTTCCATTCTGGCTGTAAATCTACTGGGGCTACATTTCTAAAAATTCAACACAAGTTGGAAATTCATATTTCAAGCCTGATATGACAAAATATTTGTCTCAAAGTCTCCACTTTCTGAAAATTTATCTGAGAGAAAGAAATCCTATGTATTAAATACTTATTCTATGCCAGTCTGTGTACTATGATCTAAGGATTCACTTCAACTTTAAAGCAGTCATAAATTATAAAAGAGAAATATGATGCAGAAGAGGTTACATAATTTGTCTAGACTACCATATCATAATAGAGAGAATTAGAATCTGAGTTCAGTTTTGTCTACTCAAGGGTTCATGTTCATTTCAATGGATTAAGCCACATGAGTTTCCTTCATATAATTATTCCACCATAGCTGTTATCTTCCCAAGAAGATAAAGGGTTAAAAAATAGAAAAACATTTTAGGTGACTACAAATATGCACATGTTAAACTTGCTAAATAAATATAACCAGTCATTGGATTTTATGCATAGAGTTATCTCTCATAATTGGAGGGCCTAGATATTTAGCAGAACATACATCACTCAGTTGTTTGGAATTGACTTGGGCTTGCACCAGAACAGGAGAGTCAGTAACTTGTGTGAACTTTGTCTTGTCCGGGTGGACTTTGTAGGTATGCTGGAAGGAGAGAAAAGGAATTGGTTTAGCAGTATCATCTGTCAAGTCCACGCTGGCCTTTAGCCCAAGAAAGCAGAACCTGTCCCATCTAAAACAAACAAATTTACAGTTAATACAATACTTGTTTTGTTAACAAGAATGCAGTGTCTCTGAGGGATTTATTATTTAGTGATTTATTTACATCTCAGTAAGAAATTTTTCCTATATCTTCAGATTCTCCCTAACTGTTTTGGGAAGATGAGCAAGAATTAACTCTTGAAATGTATGGATGCAAACAAGGAAAAATAGTGTATCGGCTACAAAATTGATTTTGCTTCTTACAATTTTCTTGCTGATTTGTAAAAGTGTCAAGATTTTAAACATATCTTGGCCATTAGATGCTACAATCGAAGTTCATGCTACAGACTTACATCTTTGCACTTATCTAGCTTCTTGATTGTTTCATATTCTTGAGTTATGGTCTGGGGGAAGAAGCCTTTGCCTCTGTCCTCTTCATATTCTGCTTTGTAATTTTTCTAGGAGGAGAAGAAATAAGACTTAAGTCTGCAACCTTGTATTTACGCACTAACAATGGATAATTTGGAAAAATCAAATGATTGTCTTAGAACTTACATCACTGTTTTGAGCTGTGACTTTCATGCAATGCGTATAATATGGATCCTCAAAGCTGCCAACATAATGTCCCAAAATATTCTTCAAGTAAGAATCTTTATATTTAGCCTAAAAGACAAACATATTTCATTTCATTATCGATGAAATGATGGGTCTTTTCATTAGCAGATGGAGTGAACATAGGATTGCTTACATCACTACTGAAGTTATGCAGAATTGTATCCAGCTGAAATTTGGGTGTCTCACAGTAATTTATGCTCTTTGCCTTTGTCTTTTCATAGTTTTCCTTGTACAATTTCTGTCAAAGAAAGAAAAAAATCAGTTAAAGTAGATTCCTGTCACTCCCACGCTGATTATAACACTTGTATTTTCCAACACTAAACAAAGAAGAAGAAAAAAAGATCTCCTGCCAAACGTCTTAAAAACTGACAATCAAACATTGAAGTGTCACGAATCATCAGGCTTTTCCATTAGTGATTCTTGTAAAGTCTAAGAGTGTAATATACTAAAAAAAAATTTAAAAAAACAATATGCTGTCTTTGTCCAAGCCCTTAGTTGTAGAAATCTTATATAATTCTGAATTGTTGTCTTCTCCACCTCTCAACTCACATACACTTCCCTCGATGATGATGCACAAGAAACAAGAATGTTTTAATCAACACCAACTATTTTTTGTTTTAAACAATCCTTCATAAAAGTTTAATATAAGTTGAGAAATATTCATTCTCTTCCCCCTCCTACCAAGGAAAAATCCCTTCTTATACATCTAGTCAATTAACCTTAAAAATAAAGTATCCGTGAGAACTCAAATTATGAATCTACTAACTATTCTTCTCTGCTGGGATTTATCTTTAACTCTTAACAATACATATAAACAATAAGTTTTTAGACCTGTTTTATGTTTCTGTATGCAATCAATTTCATGACTATTGCCTGTGTTCTTGAGAAAACATGGACACTGTGTAGCTTCTGACTGTAGTGTTTTATATATATATATATATATATATATTCATTAGAACAAATTTTGATGTTTTAGTATTAGGTGGGAGCCATCACCTTTGTCATTCACTTACTAAGAAGTATTTCAGAATCTACTCCCGTGTCTGTAATCTCTGTTCTGTCAATGTTTGCTCTTCATGTTGAGGCTGTTTTATTGGTTTTAGTTTTAAATTTTAATCATTGATTTTAAATGTACAATTGATAAAGCAGATCATTGTTACTCTTTCATGTTGGATTTTGAAAATATAAGTAGTGTTACTGGTTTTAATGTTTTTACATTCTTATCTTTATCAACAAAGTTAATTTGAACCTGGGCTTTCCTAAATTTGATAAAGATTCCTTTCATTTAGGAAACAGGTGAGGTGTCTTGCATTGATTTCCCAGCAGAGCTATCTGGACAGACTCATTTATACCTTCCCATGCCACTCCCCATATGCACATATATTCTAAGTTGCTGACTTAATTCAAGGGACAAAGCAAAGGTAACTAACCCCACAGAGAGCTACATGTCATCTTTGAACACTGAGAAAGCGTAACACTAATGTAACTGTAAGGGAAATACTCAGTTGATTATATATTCACTCTCCTAAAGACAAATGCCTAATCTTGTGGTTAGGTTAGTATTAAACTTTCCCAATATTTCCTAGTATTTCAATATTTTACAACACAGAATATGTGATCAGTTAACTATACATATACAGCCAAAGTTGTCTTGGACTGTCAGTCTTTTAATGCCAGGCCCAATTCTCATTTATCAACTCTATTTTAAATCTAATTGATGAAATAGGCTCTTAACAATTCCGTAAGTAGAAATTTCTGTGAATTCATGGGGAGTCATCTTTTAAGCCCTATGATCTATAAATGATGAGTTCTGGTTCTGGATCCAAACTGAATAGAAAATGGCAGTGGTGGGGAGAGAAGTTGTGAAACCCTGGACATCGTCCTTCTTATGGCAGCAGGCCTAGAGAGCACAGGGCAGGAAGTTAAAGCAGCTTCATCTCTCTCTCCTTGTCTTTCAGAGACATAGGCATCTGGAACCTATAAGCAACTGAGGATTTCCCTGTTCTTTGAACGAAATCCGCCAGCCTGAGAAAATTGAGACATATCATACACAGAAACACTAACGTTTTCTTATGGTTACATCATCCCAGTGAAACTGCTACACCATAACCTTAAAGTATTTGCAAAGTTATATATGCATTTCATCGTTACGGAAGGGGGAAAACGTCATCTGTCTTGCTACTGTGATTTAAAAAACATTTTTTGACAAGAATATACTTACATCACTCAAGGCATTTCCTGCCGCCTTCAGCTGCCTGAGTAGTGGTTGCTCAGTAGCAGGAAGTACATTGTAATCTGCTTTTCCTTTATTCTTTTCATAGTCTTCTTTGTATTTTACCTGTAGGAGTGAAATAAAGTGATAAAGTGACTCTCCTGGTTATTTGTGTCTTCATCTCTATTACAGATATTATGACATAGCTTCACAAATCAATTTTCTCTGTAGAAAAATGGCAGCTTGACAGTTTGTAAACAAAATACTAATAGTAACTCATAACACCAGCAGAGAAACTGCATACATTTGCAGGATATCTTTTCTTCCTATTCATTCAAAAAGATTCATAGGGTGCTGAATAGGTGCCTGGCTCTGGGACAGACACAAGAAAGTATAACATATGGTCCCTGCCCTCAAAGAGAGAGATTTATAAAGAATGAGAGAGAGATGCACAAATAATGACAAAACAGATACTTGCTACTGTTGAATCCTCACCTAGCTCTTAGCCTCTAGCCACCTATCTGGCAAGACATTTTTTTAAGAAAGGAAGATAGAAGCATCACCTACCTACCTCTTAATCTATGGTTGTGTGTGGGTGTGAGCATGTGCATTTTAATGTGCAGGCTGGAGGAAGAGGAAGCAGCTAGGTGTGGGATACATGTTGAACCTCATCTTTGCCATTGGTCCCTTCTACTTCCACTTCCGGGAGGACCTGGTAGCATAGTGTCTAAGGCACTTGACTGCTAACCAGAAGGCTGGCGGTTCAAACCCACCAGCCACTCCTCGGAAGAAAGATGGGGCAATCTACTTCCGTAGTGATACTGCCTAGGAAACCCAAGGAGGGGTCACTATGAGTCGGGTCTGACTTGACGGCACATAACAACAACAACAACAACTTCCACTTCCAGCTATGGCAGACACAGTAAGGGGGCAGGGAGGTGTCCAAGAGCTCCTGCCAAAAGTTCTACCACAATGAGTAGAACAAGAAACCAATACTGGTTCTGACCATAATCTCCAATGTAAGTCATTTATTCAGGTAATATAACCCTAGACTATAGACAAGTTCAAGGAATCCTAAATCATTTACCAACATTTGTTGTTGTTGTTTGTTGTTATGTGCCATCAAGTCAGACCCGACTCATAAAGACCCCTCCTTGGGTTTCTGAGGCAGTATCACTACGGAAGTAGATTTCCCCATCTTCCTTCCGAGGAGTGGCTGGTAGGTTTGAAGCGCCAGCCTTCTGGTTAGCAGTCAAGTGCCTTAGGCACTATGCTACCAGAGCTCCTTACCAACATTTAAGAACCTCCAAAAACAAAGTTGACCAGCTTCATATCCAAAGGCAGGAGATATAAAACAGAAACAGAGGTGCATCACCCCTATAGCCTACACAAAGGACTCAGGGGACACTCTACAGGAATTGAAGAACTAGATCACCTTTCTACCTTATAGAATTATATAATTCTTTGAAAACAGAAACAACCTGAAAATAATTCCACAAACCCAGCTACAGCCCAACTTCCATTCAAGTTACTCAGCCTTCTCTCCTATTGTGTGGAAGAACCATCAGGGTTTGTGGTAAAGCCATCCTCTCCTCTTCAACACCAGATTTCTTCCTCTTTCCTCATTACATAACTCCAGCCATCCTTCCTCCATTCTACATTATCAATGTTTCCCTCAAGAGTGGATTTTTTTTCCATCAACCTAGAGGCATGATATTTATGTCTCCTATCTTTAAGAAATCCCCTCTTGATACATTTATCCATCATCTATTGCCCCATTTTCCTCTTATCATTACAGAAAATTTGAAAAGGTTGGATATACTTAGAGCTTTCAATCTCTCTCTTCTCATCCACTCTTGAATCCTCTCTAGTCAGCTTTTAAACATCATGACTTAAACAAATTGCTCTTGTCAAGGTAACCAGAAACCTCACTTGTTCACTTGCTTCCCAAGATACCACTCTCTCCTGATTTGGTCCTACCTGATGCCTTCACACTTGGAAGGAAGGTTGGGCAATCTACTTCTGTAGTGATATTGCCTCAGAAACCCAAGGAGGGGTTGCTATGAGTTAGGTTCAACTCAACAGCAGTGAGTGATGTCTTCACATGTAACACGCCAGGTTCATTGCAATTTTCTATCTACTCATTTGATGGTTTCTAGTCTCATGATATTAAGTACTATCCATATGCTGATGGCTTCCAAATTTATATAGCCTCCCCAGATTTCTTCCTTGAAAATTTCAGACTCATATGATCAACTGACTTCTTGACATTTCCACTTGGATATCTAAAGGCATCTCAAATTGAACATGTCTGAAACTGAGCTCCTATATCCCCCCAGAATACACACCTGCTCCCTCTATAGTCTTCTCCATCTCAATAAAGGAAAAACCCTATCCACCTAGTGGTTCACACCAAAACCTTTCTCTCATATCCATCCCACATCCAATTCATGAATGAATCATATTGGCTCTACTTTTAAAATACTTCTCACTACCTGCTCAGCCTCCCTTCTGACCAAAACACCATTATCTTGCACTTGGATACTGCAATAACCTTCTAAGTTCTCTTCCTCCCCTGGCAGAGCTAAAGCCAAGGTTAGAACCAAGTTTGCTTGGCTTTGAACTTTGTACTCTTTCCAGTGACCATTCTGCTTTATGCTGACAAGTAGTCAGACTATTTACTGAAGTCAGTCGATAAAGCATATGAGGATATATTCCAAACCAGAAGTTCCCCAGAATTAGTGCATGAATTTGTGAATCTTGTCTATGATGAATTTCCACCAGTCAGTGGAAAAATAAAAATAATGATAGTCCTGAGCCTGGGAGTGTCTAACTTCATACAATGCTGCCCAACTATCCTTTCTTGGTGGGAAGGATGAGGTCTTTCTGCCTAATATTATGCCCTTTCTACTTCTGGATTTCAAAACCCTTTACTTCATAAGATATTGAAGATAGAAATCAAGATGTTGTTAATGGCCATATATGGCAAATAAAATAAATAGATAGCACTATTATAATCCCAGAGTGCTTTCTATTTAGTTCTACTCTTCTGTGAAACCCAAATGCCTATGACCCACTGGCCTCAACTGTGGCAGTTCTCTCAAAGCTCTAATTATTTTTCATTATACACAAGAGCAAGAGTTATAAGAAACTCACCCACCATAAAACCACCAAGACGAACAGAATAATTATCTCCATACCTTGCTGGCCGCCAACCCAGCTTGTTTATTCACTTTGTACTCTGGGGTTTCAGTCTGCATGAAGTAGATCTGGTCTTTCATGTTCTCAAAGTCTTCCTGGTATTTCCTCTGTAAGACATGAAACATACTGAAGAACTGCTAGGGGAACAAACTGCATAAGGGTTTTACATGGGAGGAGAGCAGGCATTTAAAGTTCAAAGCCATGCTCCCTTTGACAGAAGCAGGTCAGACTGCAAATAGAGAAGATGGTGTCGTCACATAATGATAGTCATCACAAATGATTGGCAATTTAACAGAGATTTGGAATAATTAGATTTGTTCAGTCTGAAAGGCAGATAGCAAGAAAGAGTTCCTGAAGGCCAGGAGCAGAGAGGATCTATCAGAAGAGAAACTAGACCTATGCTTTCCTATAAGGAGAGCCTAGGAAGGAATTATATTAACCGGTTTCATAAATGTACAGTTTTGGTCTCATAGGCAAATAATAAATTTAAAAGTGCCCCTTTAACCTGTACTAGCATTGAAGCCTGAACTAACTTCACTTTGCAGTTAATAAGAGGGTCTCACCATATTGTTTCTGTGAAAACTGAGGCAGAAATAATGGAATTGGGCTAAAATAATATTTCTCTAAATGAAGGAGAGTTCATGGAATTTCTTTTAACAGGAACTCTTTATCAGGGTTTTGTCACCCAGAGCAGGGACCTGGCCTCAAATGTTGTGTCAGCATGTTGAGGAACTAGCAGTGGACTACAGTTGCCTTAGGAGGAAAGGGCACATCCAAGGGCAGCCATCCATCCCTTTCTACTTACTGTGCTGATGTTGTCAGCATTCATTCTGGCAGTTGCAATTTCAAAGCAAGGTGTCTCACTCCATTTGCCTTTGATTTTATTTTCATAGTCTTCCTTGTATTTTTGCTAGTGGGGAAAAAGAAAACAAGCAAAACTCAGGAATTGACTAATAAATCAGCCAAGTAAGTGGTAATATTCAGCTTTTAAAAACATCTTTAGTGGGACTTTCTTAAATCCTTAATGTTACTCTTAGGTGTTGTCCAGTCAATTTTCAATTCCTAGTAACCCCATATTATGGAGTAGTACGTCCCTATAGGATTTTCTAGGTTGTAATCATTACAAGAGAGATCACCAAGTCTTTTTTCCCACAGAACTGCTGTGTGTGTTCAAATCAACAACTAACCTTTGAATTCACGCCTGAGTGCTTAAAATTTGCACCACCAAGGCTCCTTCTAAGTCCTTAACAGATGTCCTCCAGTGTAGTGTCAATTTACTCAATAAGAGAGTTGGGTGAGAGGGTATAGAGGAAAGAAGGGGAAAGAAGTGCCAATTCCCTCTTCCACTGTTAAATTTAGAAATTTACTTCTTTTAGAATTTGAGGATGCTCCCTGGCATTCAAGGAAAGAGACAGGCAGAAGCTGTCCTCTATTTTTATTTCAGTTATAATGAAACTTATCAACCTGAGACTTACATGAGAAATAAGTTTTATCATTAATTTTTAAGATTTCCTAAAACTACCAGATACCCAGAAAACAACCATCATAACAAAATTGGGCCTGCAGATTGATGAATAAGACCTCTTAGTTCAGACCTAAAGAAATTTTAAGAATTGGAAATTAATTTAAAAAATGAATTGCTGTCCTCTATTTCACCCTGTACCTCTTCCTACCTAACTGCCAGGCTTTGAGCTCCTTGAAGAGAGTATTTATGATTCTTTTTCACACCTTCAGAATCCAATGCAAAATACAGCATGCAGAAATAACCTTATAGAAGTTTGTTCAACTACATTAAATTGAACTGGTTGTGAACTACCTTAATCGAACCTTTGTTGAAGAAGAATTATCCAAGCCAACCTCAAACCCAGCTCATGAACCAGAGCCAGAGCTGGAGCTGGATTAGAACAATTTTCCCACTTTTGCTCATAGAAATGTGCTACAGACATAACCAAAGGACCTCTTGGTGCTTACACATCCGCACCCTCATCACACTTTTCAAGGAAAAAGAAGTGATATGTATACATTTAACAAAACAGGTTCTAAAGGTTTATCTGTGAGTGATGCTCAAGTCAGTGAGCCTGAGTTCAAGGAAGCCCAGCCCTCTCCCAAATTCCCTCTATTCTTTCTTCTGAAAAGGTCAATATCCTAAATAATAGCCAAGGTACTTTTATAGCTTTTAATTGTGGAGCACTAGACCTGGGTTCAGAAGTCTGGGTCCAAGTTTTGACTCTATCATCAGCAAAGATGTGACTTTGCCTTTCCAAGCCTCAGCTTTCTCAACAAGTTCTGGTAACAGTATTTCCTTAGGGCATTGTTGAGAAGATGGAATAAGAGTCTACACTGAAGAGTGCTTTATGAACTCTAAAGTGCCAAAAAAATTAGAGTACTGTTGTAATAATAAGAATAACTACGATGATGATGATTATCATCATACCAGAAAGAAATTCTGGAGAAAAGAAAATGGTGTGTATGTTTGTGTGTATGTGTGTGTGAGAGAGACAGTTCTTCACGTAAAATCTCTACTGAAATAAGTTTTGCATTACATTGCCATTATTGTGAAATTTTACAAAGCAGATGCATTTTACATTCAATAGTTCATACACAATATACTGCCAATTAATTGTTGATCTCTTTTGAAGCTTGAAAGGACTCAAGTTAATAAGACAGATTTTTTTGGATTTGCTGAGATTGCCTATACAAGGGCTTTTAATGTTTTTGGAGTAATGCTGTTGCTGTTGGGTGCCATCAAGTCAGTTCGAACTTATAGTGACCCCATGTGACAAAGTACAACCACCCTATAGTGTTTTCTAGGTTGTAATCTTTATGGAAGCAAATGGCCAAGTTAATTTACCAAGTTCCTTTCATGGATTCAAACCACCAACATTATGGTTAGCTGTCGAGTGCTTAACCTTTGTGCCACCAGGGCACCTTTTGGGAGCAATAGACCCCTTAAAAATTTGAAATGGTATAAAATGACATAAGCACAAATTCAGAGGATCTTGATGTGCATGAAACCCATGCCAAGATCTCTTAGTCTATAATATTTTGGTATGTTTGCTTATCAATAGAACACATATGTTGGAATTCTGCTTTTCCCTCTGCGTTCTATAGTCAAAGGAGAAAAACTCTTAAATTGGGAAGGGACAGTTGAGCCTGACACATACTAAGATAAGAGAACTTTATAATATAACTAAAGTTGAAAAAAGGCAGAAAATGCTCTGAAAGAGGTCCAAGAGTTGGGCTACTATAGGGAAATAGGAATTGTGCAAGGAAAATTGTTAAGGAAAATTGAGTAATTCTCACAGTGAAAGACAGATGTAATTTTTTAAAAAGACATTAAAGCAAGAAGCAAAACAAGAGTATAAGACTAACTAGCCCTGTCAACAAAAGTCCTTGTCCGCTTCTTAACCCCTGTGAACAAAGTCTTATTATTTCCTCCTGCCCAGCAGCCAAAATGGGTCAGAGCGGGGGTGGCTCCCTTACAACCTACTGCTGAGTACTCCCAAGTCTGAGAAGACTTTCACTACTCTAGAAGAGCCTGGAGCTTGTTACCTGCTGAGGAAGTTCAAGATACCACCTTCATATGCGGGTAGGAGAGAAATTGAATAGACAAAGGCCCACAAGACTGAATGAGAAGGAGGGAGAGGTAGATGTCCAGAGCTGACCTCTCTGCCAGCCAAGAGCTCACTCTGAGTGACTGGGCAGCAAGGTCTGAGCTTTTGTGCAGTACATGGAGATCAGTCCACCATACCCGGGTCCAATACCCAGCCTCCCACCACTACCACCACTGATTCTTCAACAATACCCCATTTACAGTCTATCAGTGGAAACCTGGAGGAAAGAATCATTTTAACTTTCTCTAGGATTTTGTGTTTGTTTATTCATTTAACAGAAGAAATCACACCAGGTCAATGACAAGCACTGGGACACCTTCAGTGGACCAGAAGGTGACCACACGTTGATAGATGTGGTAAGATTGTGTTCCTAAATCATAATCTCTTCTCCCCAGAAGTCAGTCAAGGGTATTTCTGTTGAGCCAAAAATTAGGAACCCTAGTGCCCTGCTTAGACATATAACTTCATTTTCTACTTTTATATCTGCACCTGTGGTTTTGATGTAGTTATCGAATGAAAAGAAATTCAAAGCCAGTTATTTAATCACACTTCTCTTTTTCTGTAAGTAGCTAAACACTGAGGTTCCTGATGACTCCATTCATAGAGAAGTTATCTTCTCCAGAGGTAGTGGAAGGGGTCCCAACTGGTATTATCATTGGACTCAGTGGGCCCAGGGCTACATTCTTCACGCAATCAAATCTCTTATTGGTGAAATCAATGGGAATTTTCCTAATTCTAAATGATAGAAGAGTTTCCATGGTTTCATAAGATCGGAGCGTGGCCTCTTCGTGCTGTGTAACAAGCTGTCACTGAAGTGTTTTTTTGTTTTTTTTTTTAACCATTCGAGATACTAGATGAATATAAATTGGGATTTCCAATCTGAAATCTTATGCTTTTCCTACCTGTGAACGTGGATGGGAGCAAATAGGCTGGCACAAAGAAACTTCTCAGTATTGTGTTCATAATCACATTTTTAGATGGTGGTGGTTAGTGTGCATAGTTTCCTGACCTTGAATTCTTGCTTACATACTGACTTTGTGAGGCCATTCATCTATTCTACAGTTACAAAATGTAGCTGAGCCAGGAGGAAGTGCTAGCAGGTAGCTGATGACTTTGTCAAAGACAAAGGTGAGAGAATTAAATCTGACAAGTAGAGTAAGGAAGTTTGATAAACAGAATGTAACAGTAACATGATTGCAGGAAAGTGACTATTACCATTTGAACTGAAGGCTGTAAGACCAAAGTAGGGATGTGGGAGACATAATTTGATAAGGAAATGATAAGAATTTAAATGTATAAGAGTGAGTAGATAAGAGATTTTACCTATTTTGAAGAGAAAGAATAGATGGAAATACAGAAACAGGGATCAAAACCTAAATAGTGGGCAACACTTTAAGAGACAAGAAGAGAGTTCCACAGATAAGTTACCCCTTCCAGTCCTGTGCCTCTCTTGTTGGACAAACTGTGTCCCTCAGAAATATGTGTTGGAATCCTAACCCCTGTGAACGTGATCTTGTTCGGAAATAGGGTTTTCTTTATTATGTTAATATCATTGTAGAGTGTGTCCTAAACCTAATAAGAAGCAGCATAGACACAGAGACAAGAAGCACAAATGAGGGGAAGATAGCTGACAGGTGAAGATCACCAATGAACTGAGGAATGCCAGGGCCAGAAGCTGACAGGGATCTTCACCTAGAGTGGATGGAAAGACTTCCCCTATAGTCAGTGCCCTGAATTCAGACTTCTATTCTCCTAAACTGTGAGAAAATAATTTTCTGTTCTTTGAAGCCACCCTTTTGTGGTATTTCTGTTAAAGCAGCACTAGAAAACTAAGACAGACAGTTTGTTGTTAGATGAACTGCAAGCAATAACAAGCATTTCTTTCCAACATGACTAGTTTTGGATGCACAACAGACATTAAGAAATTGGAAACCTGGATAAGACTGGAATTGCTAATGTCACAAATCTGGTGACCTTCATCCAGAGTCATCCTACCTTGGCTCACATTATTGTACCACAAGGATAAATCCACCCATGACAGTACTTTCAAAGTACTCAACATTGTCACCTTATCCAACTAGAGTAGCAAAGTTCAATAAACAGATCATCCAAGCCACACATACAATTTTAAATTTTCTAGTAGCTTCATTGTAAAAAGTAAAAAAAAAAAGGGGGGTGGTGGAAAATTAATTTTAATAATATATTTTACTGATTCCAATAGATCCAAAATATTACAATTTCAACATGTAATCAATATAAAAATAGCTAATGAGCTGTTTGACATTCTCTTTGTGATACTAAGTGTTCAAAATTCAGTGTATATTTCACACATACAGCTATCTCAGTTTGCCCCAGTGGCATTTCCAGTACTCAATAGCCACATGTAGCTACTTGCTACTGTATTAAAGAGTAAAGACCTAAACTTACTGTCAAGACTAAATTAGTAGAGAGACTGATTATAGAGGAGTTTGAAAATGATCTTTTTACTACTTTCAGGTATTCATACTCTGTATTCAACCAAGGTCAAAGAATGTTACCTTAGTAAGATATCTTTAAATACATGCTTTAAATAAAAATTTTAAATAGATCCCTTTTTGCTTCTAAACGACCTCCTTGAAAGAGCTTCACCTTTTACTTCAAAATGATAAATCATCTTTGCTCTCAATCTTATTTACAGTATCAACACTTTCACCAGGCCATCTTTTATGCACAGTTCTAAGGTTAACATCTGCTCAGCCCTGAGTAAAATTCTAACAAATGTCAGGTTCCCAGCGTTTCTGTTGGGTCCCTAGGTGGCACAAATGGTTTGTATTTGGCTGCTAACTGAAAGGTTGGCAGTTCAAACCCACCCAGTGGCACCATAGGAGAAAGGCCTGGTAATGTGCTTCTGTGCAGATTACAGTCAGGAAAACCCTGTGGAGCTCAGTTCTACTCTGTAACACAGGGGGTCACTGTGAGTTGGAATCAGCTCTTGGGTAATGGGTTGGGTTTTGGTTTGGCATTCCTCGCAATGAAATGTAGTATACTTACCAGATCCTTTATCCTGGTTCTACAGCTAGTTGTGCATATCAGGTATATATTTTTTAATGATTTAATAGATTGCATCATCCATAATTTTTCTTCTTTCTCCTTTACTAAAGAAATACTTTGCAAAAAAAAAAAAAAAAGACTGAAATCTGGAGAGTCCATAAAAATTCAACCAAAATGGGACTCAACTCTACAGAGGGCAAAGAAAGCACTTAAAATCAGCAGTATCCCAAGAGAAAATGGCCTGATTTGGACCAATTTAAAATAAGAACTCAGCCTGGCCTCTTCATCAGCTGAACATCTGTTTCTCTGCATTCCCTGTCAGGACTGCATTCCTCAGGCGAGTTTACCAGCCTAAATATAGTCAGACTAAGCTGTTTGCCAGGCCTTCAAAGTTATGAGGTGCACTGCCCACTGTTGCCAACTAAGCTATGTTTGAGAGCCCACTCATGTATTGCTAGTTTTCCAAATCTGACTGAGAGCTTAAAACTATACAGGTGCTTCACACCTAGTTAAAATAATCAGATCCTCCATGGACATGTGTGCTTATTTGATTGCTCAGTTAGTTTGCATAACTCCAACAAATAAAAATGTCATGTGACATTAGGACACAAATTCTAGTTTCAAAAGGTGGCTTTTACATTTATCAAACACTATGTCATCAAGCTGGCTAAGCATTTATATTAGCACTGTTCTGTGGTAATGAATGTTTTGCTTTGGCTATAGAATTTTTAGGAGCTCTGGTGGCATGGTGCCTAAGGCACTTGACTGCTAACCAGAAGGCTGGCAGTTCAAACTCACCAGCCACTCATTTGAAGGAAGATTGGGCAATCTACTTCCATAGAGATACCGCCTCAGAAACCCAAGGAGGGGTTGCTATGAGTCGGGTCTGCCTCAATGGCAGTAGGTTTGGTTTGGAGTTTGGTAGAATTTCAGGGTTAGATGCACAAATACTCTTTGTGTTTTATATTTTGTCTTTAGGGCTCATCTTTAGTTATTTTCTCTACTAGTTGAGATTATTAAGTAGAGTTTTCAAGAGACTCTCAGTTCTCTTTACTTACCTTGCTCACTTGATTGCTCACTTTCTTGGCGAATTCTATATCTGGAGGATCTGGCAGGGATGTGAATTGACTTTTCTGTTCAACATGACCTTTTTTGTAGGCAATCTAACAAAATAAAAGACAATGGTGCTGATGAGCCATAGAAAATTATTCTACTTCCCATGTTCCATGTGTTGGCATTTTTAAAAGGACTATGTTTTCACCTTTATTTAAGTCTTAAATGTTGTAAAACAGTGTAAGTATAACTCATCCTTCTAAGGGTTATATGCACTCAGTCCCAATATTGCTAGTGATTTCTATTTCCTTGAATCTTCTCTCTTCTTCAGTACTATTGGTCCCAGATCAGTTTCCTTCCATTGCAGTCTTCATGCCATGATGGCAGCTATCATCACTCTCTTAAGCAGCATCTATAATTCCCAATCTCTCTTCTTTTCATCACATCCATTTAACAAACCCTCCACTCTGGATCAACTACATGTTTCCTCTGTTCTTACACCCAGGATGCTGAGTGCTACTACCCCAAACCACACAAATCTATGAATTGAGTAATTATGGATTTATGGTATCCTGTTGGCACTCTGACTTTAATGAAGCTTGAAAATTCCATCATGTGTCTCTGGTCAGCACCTACCTTCAGTGGCTAGTCTAAAGTCCCAATACCGTCCTCAGCCCCCAATCAACTCCACATTACTCTCAAGTGCCTTTTTTATAGAGAAAGGTTATTCACTTATTTCTCTCCATATTCATTGCTGCTTCTTCCACTCCTGCCTCCTCCCCTTCTCAGAGGGGAAGCATCATCTGATGCTTTCAGTCAGCCATCTTTTATGTACAGTTCTAAAGTTACCTTCTGCTTACCGCTGGGCAAAATTCTAACAAATTGCAGGTTGATAGCCTTCCTAATCATGAAATTAGATGCCTCCAGCCCACTTTTGTACCTACCTTTATCAGTCATTTCTCCTCCTTATAACTTCAAGCTCTTTTCCTTCAGATTACTAAAGTTCCTGCCTTAATATTGCACCCATGAATCATGCACTGTTTCACTCTTGCTCTCCTTTTTTTTCCTTCAGTACTGACTCCTCTGGTTTTATTTCCACAATTGTTGGACCACTACCTCCAACAATGTGGAATTATTCAGAGTCCCAGACACATGAAGCTCCTCATGCCTTTGGACCTTGAAAACGCTATTCCCTCTCCCTGGAATGTCCCAACTCCACCCACTCCTCTCCTGCCTGCAGACTACTGCTGGTTCTCTACATGTCAGGCCAAGTATGACTGTCCCTATGGAGCCTTCCCATACCCCTGAGGAAGAGTTGATAACTTTCTCCTGGAATCTCATTCTACTTGTCCCTAAGCTTCTTTAAAGGAGATATCAACACTGTAACTGATGGTTCACATATCTGTCCATCCCTGGAATGTGAACTTTGAGGTAACAGAAACCATGTCTATTTATTTGAGGCCCCTGTGACCTGCATAGTACCTGACTAGAGTAGGGATTCAGTTATTGATTTATGAGTGTGTGTTTTATGCACTGAGGCTGTCAGGAGAAGTGTGAAGAACAGTATTACCTTTCCAACTCTTCTATTACTCAGGTGTGAGACATACTAATTATTTCTCTTTCCACATGGCAGTATTCTTATTTATATGGCCACCAGAGCTCCTTTTTAAAGTTAAAGGGTTGGGTAATTTAAAGATCAGAGTCATCTTCTTTATGTTCTAACCCTGTCTAACTATATCCTATCCCAATATATCTAGCAGCCCCATGGAAGAAAGGGCCAGAGAACCGCTTCCATAAAGATTACAGCTTAAAAAAAAAAAAAAAAAAAACCCTATGGAACAGTTCTACTCTGTAACAGGTGGGGTGTCCCTGAGTTGGAGGCCAACTCTAAAGCTGCTAACAACCACAACAACAATATCTAAAAGAAAGCTTTGTATGACTGTGACATAAGTTAGAATATAAATGACAGATGTTACAATGTATTTACAAAAAATCCACTGCCTAATTTCTTTTAAGTAAGAGAAGTTTTTAACTAATAAGTGGTTGGGATTTTCTATGGGTGGCTATGTCCTTAGGGAGAAAGCAACGTTCTACCAGGAGAAACACTTATTAAGTCTGACAACTTGTCAAGAAGTTTCAGAGAAATAAGATCTAGAAGACCTAATTTTTCTGGAAACTTGTTCAGAATTCTGTCTAGCTAGCAAATGACACTCTGGATCTCTGCTCAAGGGCTCTCAGTGCTTACAAAATATTTTGTCTTTACTTAGATAATAAGTAGGTTTAAGAGTAGCACAAGAAGGTCAGGAGAGGGAGAGGGAGCCTCTAACCCAGCTCTTAGCTTGAAATCCGTGTGCCTGCCTACCCAGTGCTAAATTCTGTGAACAACAGCTTGCTTGGGGCTCTGTGCCTAGTAATTGTAGAAGCTCATGGTGTTGACAACAGTATTAATAGGCATGTCTGTAATCTGATACTTAGTGCATACTTTGCCTGCAATAAAAATAAAAGCCATACCTTAACTGCCAAGTCTTTCTGGTAGAATATGGGGAAGATTTTATTTCATTATTATGTAGTCTCCTTCATTACATCTTCTATTGAAATATCACAAAAAACGTGGCCAAGTTTAATTGTTCAAAGTCCATAGCCCCTGGAGTGGGATTGGTAACCCTCCACCTCTCCATTGTGTAGATAAAGAGAGACTCTAACAGATTAAGTGTCTTCTTGGAAACCTCCCCTAGGCTTACATGACATGGCATTTCCTGGTTCCCCTTCAATCTCTCTTACCGTCCATTGCTTTGTTCTTTTGCTGACTCTTTTCCAGATGTCCTAAGTGTGGGTGTCCTCCAAAACTCTGTCCTTGACTACCCTCTCTTCTGTTTCCCTCATGAATTTTCACATCTTCAGCTGTGCCTTTTATTCTGATAACTCTCAAACATTAATCTCTTGTCCTGACTTCTAACCCATGCAATAGTGCTACATTTCTAATTTATCCATAAGATGCCTTCATCTCAATAGTCCTTCCACTCTCAACGCTATTTCTCTTTCCACTGATGAATCTTTATCAGTGTATCCCTACTCACATAGACTACCAGTCTATGGCCATAAACTCATCTATAGCTCCTTTCTCTCCAAGATCCAATGTCATTAGGACTTTTGACATTACTTTTTATTATTATTACTTACTACCTTCAGATTCCTTTCTTTTCTCTGCTTTGTCCATTGTCCATCTGATCCAGTCTGTCCTACTAAAATAACATTCTACTATTCCCACGATTTCCAGTTTTTCGTACTTCAGTCCATGGTACTGCCATCAAAATGTCTCCAGAGTCTGCTTTTGTCATGTCTTTTCTTCTTCAAAATCTTATGATGCTTCCCTTTGGCCTACCAAATCATGTCAAAGCTGTTTTGTCTGATATTCAGAGACCAGCTGCCAACTTTCTAAGAAGTGCCCTCCAACTAGGCCCCACAGCTTTCACTTTCTTTGTTCTCTAAAACACCAGACTTATTTCACTTCTAGCCATTTGTCCAAGTGCTCCTTCTGCTTGAAATGCCTTTCCTCTTCATCACCACCCATCCCCTTGGGATCACACATTTGTGTGGCATTTTCTGATTATTCACATTTATCCCGTCATCATTTTAGCAAGTATTTAGTTGTAGTTTTTAACTTTTTTTTTTTTTCCTGCCATTTGATATACAATACTTTCTTCTTACCAATCTGATTATAAATTCTTCAGGGAAAAAAATCAAAACGTCTTATAGTGTTTTTCTATCTTTCCAGGTAGGCATACATAATAGGCTATTAATAGCTACTGATCACTTGATAAGGCCACACAACAATATTACGTATCTTATAATATAGATACAAAAACGTCAGTCTTGAAAGAGAAGCAGAAAATACCCACATGTTAAATATTGTACCACTAAATGTCCTTAACATTTTGCTATGCCTTCTTAATTTTGTCACTTACCCTATGGAAGGATAGAAGTATATCTGTGCAATAGTTCAACAAATTATACAGACACTGGGATAGAAAATATGCCCACTACGTTTGCACATCATACCAAGTGAGAGATCCATATTAGACCTGAGAAGTTAGAGATACCATCAAAGGAGTATGTGTAATTTCAGTTCAGGGCAAGCTAGGATCCTAGGAGCTATTTGAAGTAAACTCCAATAAGTCTCTAGATGTCAACTAGCTTGTTAAGTCCAGAGTATGTGAGTTCCCGTGGTCTAGCTAACAACTGAGTATAAAATAGCATGTCATTTTCTCCTACCACTGCAGCAGACTAAAGCTGTTTTCTTTGGATTTTCACCTGGGCCCCTATCAAATCCAAGAGTAGGAAACAAAGCACCTCAAAACAAGAGGAAATTCTTGACCCAAGTGAGGTCCTCTGATGTGGTGGGTTTCCATTCTGAGTCTATTAGCCCTTTTAAGTTCCTTTAATATATATTTTCAACATTTAGGATACTAAAATCTTGGCAAATAGGAGTGCTAATTTCTTGCTAATTCTCAAATATCGTCTATGTATACCCACTGGCAAGAACTTCTTTTGGGGTAAATACATAAATATGCTTGGATAAGTACATCAGTCAGAAGCCCAATGCAGAAAAAAGAAAGACTCACCACAATTCAGACCTTCTCATTAGGATAGCAAATCAAAACCTTTCAATAACATTGTTCACGTAATAGATTTGGAAAGGTAGTTATGATCTCAATAGATTTAATATGTATGCATGTATGTACGGCACCCCATTGTCACAGAATAACTTCTACTCAAAATAACTTCTACTCAACTGAAGGGGAAAAAATACGCAGGCTCTAGTGGAAAGAAAACTTGGGATCACAAGACCTAGCTTCTAATTTGGGCTTTCTGCTCCTAACTACTTTTATGGTCTTTGATTCAGGTTCCTCACCTATAAGAGAAAGTGATTGGATTAAATTACATCTAGTAGTGGTTGGGCAATCCTACTTCTGTAGTGATACTGCCTCGGAAACCCAAGGAGGGGTCGCTATGAGTCGGGGCTGACTCGACGGCACATAACAACAATAACAACACAACAACAGTGTAGTGCCTAAGGCACTTGACTGCTGACCAGAAGGCTGGTGGTTCAAACCCACCAGCCACTCCTCGGAAGGAAGGTTGGGTAATCTACTTCCATAGTGATACCACCTCGGAAACCCAAGGAGGGGTCGCTGTAAGTCAGGTCCCACTCAACAGCACATAACAACAACAAACAACAATATAAATCATATCTAATTTGAATTATATTTCATAAGTTCTCATGTTCTAGATGTATTCCTCTGCAATAATGAGATTTAGCCTTTCTTTAAAGAATTGCAATGAGTATTGAAAACTTAATTCCAGTTTCCTGATTCCTCACTCTCAAATAGTGCTGACTGCACTTCACTTACATCACTCAGAGCTTTCTGGGCTTGAGCAACCCTCCTCAGCTCCGGGCTGTCATTATATGGGTAAAACAAACTTTTGTCTGCTTCCCAGTCTTCAGTGTACAGTTTCTAAATCAGAAAAGAATGAAAACTTATGAGAAAATTGAAAGCACATTCAGATCAAATACATAATTTTGAATTCATCAGTCAATAGCATCATGAATCAAGGGCAACGTGAGAACAAAGATAAAGGAAATTCACACATAACCTCCACCTTTTCATTCAATCTAAGACATTTTTGTCCTATTTTTCTTGACAATCATTTCCAGAGAGGAAGATGTGTCTGATGTTTTTCATCTCCCCACTATGACTTCACCTGCCTTCTGCAACAAGTGCTAACATACCAGTATAAGGAGAGGGGATGCATTTAGCATAGTTGCTAGCATAACACAAAACTTTAATAAGGTAGACAGCCAGGTAGAGGACACTAAGCTTCTGTTAAGGGTGGTGATGAAAACACTTGAGAATGATTAACGATGATGGTTGAAGAACATCATGAATATAATTAATGCCACAGAACTGTGCATGTGAAGAGTGTTGAAATGGCAAATATTTTGTTACCTCTGTATTTACCACAATTTAAAAAAATCTAATTTTTTACAAAAAATAAATAGGCACAAAGTAATACTTAATTTTTTTTCTGTAGACCCTGTCCAATAGTTTATATCCTGCCTATTTTTTTTAAAATTAGTTTATTTTTTTTCATTGTGGTAAATACATTAAAAAAAAAAAAAACTAAAGTTTTTGGTTTAGTTTTTTTATGTATTTACCACAATAAAAAAATTAATTAATTGTTTTTTAAAAAATAGATAGGCAGGATATAAACTATTGCACAGGGTCTAAAGAAAAATTTAAACATTACTTAGTGGATCTTGGCAGCTTCTCCAGTACACGTTGATTCTCCTCACACATCCCCCCACCCCAGGTTGCTCACGTTCCCTTCAGCACCCTCTCCTCTACTCTGCCCAAGAGTTTTCTTCCCAGTCCCTTCCTTGCCAGTCCCCACTCTAGTAGCCCTACATGTCTCAAGGTTACTCACAAAAAATATTAAAGAATCATATTCTAGATTATCAAGAGTTTACTGGGTATTTCTCTAAATTATGTAGTAGGATGACATAGTCAGGAAGATAGGCGTGCCAATGGAGCCCTTACCTTACTGAACATGGCTGTGTTCTTAACAGCCTGGACAAGTTCAGGGGCATCAGGAGGAAGCAGGTACTTATCCTTGGTGTCCTCCCAGTTTTGCTTGTATAAAACCTAAGCAGGAAGACAAAAGGACCTGTTATGTAATGCCTGAGGGCAAGAGGATTTAGAAAGCAAAGGGGAATGCTGTGAAGAGACTTTTTCAAACTCAAAGTGTCCTCACACAAAAGCTGTTGGATGTGTTACTGGGAAAAAGACCATGTCTACATTCCATGATACTTTTCTTGTATTAATAACTTTTATTTGAAAATTCTACTTTTTTTTCAACTAAATCATGATTCGAGTTCTTTACAGATTCTTTTCAAAGGTTGCAACCTTTCAGGCATTATTTGAATTTGACTGGCAGACATGTTTTTGATTTACATGTTTTTTTCTTTAATTAGTCACCCAATTTGAAATTTGATTTCTTATAAAAATTCAGATCCCCAACTTCTTTTAAAAATATAATCACCCTTATGCTCTATTTGTTCCATAGTATTTATCATCAACTAATAGAAACTATTATTATAATGCCACAGCCAAACCACACTCCTGCCAGCGAGTCGATTTTGACTCATGGCAACCCTTTTTGGGTTTCCAAGGCAGTAAATCTTTACGGAAGTAGATTGTCAAGTCTTCTTCTGCAAAGTGGCTGGTGGGTTTGAATCGCCAACCTTCTCATCAGCAGTTGAATGCCTTAGGCACTATGCCACCAGAGCTCCTTACGTATAAAAATATAATTTATTTATTTGCTATTAGTGTTTTCTGTGCTCCCTTGTTATGGGTTGAATTGTATTCTCCCAAAAGATATGTTGAAATTCTAACTCCCCCACCCCTCACCTGTGAACATGACCTTATTTGAAAATAGGGGTTTTGCATATGTAATTAGATATCGGAGTAATGTTGGCTATCAGAGGCTGGGAGATACATGAAAGGATCTTTTCTCAGAGGCTTCAGAGAAAAACATGGCCCTGCCAACACTCTAAATTTGAATTTCTACTCTCCAGAACTTGAGATAATAAATTTCTGTTGTTTTAAGCAAAAACAAAAAAAAAAAAGAGAGAGAGAGACTCTGTTGAGTCTGAGACTGCGTCCTGTGTAGCGGCAATTGCCTGAGCTGCGTAGCAGCTGCCACTTTGGTAGGGCACAGGTTCTGCAGTCCATCACAACTCCTAGGGGGCACTTCAGTCATGTGTGTAGTTTCCCTGATGCGGGGGGCGTGAACACTCACAATCCCTGTGGATTTGGCAGGTAGTGGTGAACAGGATGAGACCTGTCCAATTTTCTCCTCTTCAGATAAAGCAGAGGTAATGTGAATGCTATTTAGTATCCCACCCACGTATGCCACAAATCCAGCCTTACCTTACTGACTTGCTGCGACACTTTCTTGGCATGTTCAATGTCCTTTGCTTTTTCATCTACGTGACAAATCGTTTTAGCAACATCACCATCAATTCGATACTTAACCTGCAGAAATAATGCACGGAGTAAGTCCATGACAGATGTGCACATGTGAGTGTATATCTTATGACAACAAGTACTAACCCAATAACTCTATGGCCACACCACAATTCAAAGTTTCTGCATTTTAGCTAGAAAAAGGTGATCTTCAAAGATTGACAGAGTGCCTGCATTTACTGCTTGTCTGGTTACCTGGCCTAATTTCAGCCCACTGCTGAAGGACCAAAGCAACTTGAAACTTCCATTTGAGTTACCTCTTAACCTAAATAGCTATGCTAAGGGTTTAGAAGTCATTTTTTGTTCATATCTACAGTAACATAACCTATAGCCAATGTTTTCTCAAGCTTTCTGGACTGGTTTACAGTAATTCAACTCCTCATTCTCTCTACACTTAATTAGAGAACTGAATCCTTAGTGAAAGACATTATCTTTGTAATGTCCCTCTCCTCATTTAATCAATGAAGCCCACCTCACTGAGTTGATCTTGTACTTTCTTGATCCTGCGAAGTTCTGGGGTATCAGTTGTGATGGCATATGGCTGTCCTTTTGTTTTCTCAAATTTCTCTTTGTATTTATTCTGAAAAGAATATCAGATATTAGCCTAAAACATGACATGACAGCAACTCTTCCTCATTTAATTAAAAAATATATATTTCTCCCAGTTATAACAATTATCAGTGTGACAGCTATTTTTGTCCTCTATCTTGACTCTCAGCAAAAACTAAAATAGCTTTGTTAATTACTCTTCCTAAATATGATTGGGTTCTGGAGACAGTAGAAATTTATTACAGACTATTGTCTTAGATGCCCTAAAATTGTTCTCTCAATGGTTCTTCTTTTTCTGCCTGAACACACATATAAAAAGGCCTAAGTCTCATTTTAAAAAATGAATATAGAAACTGAGTCAAGTCTGAAAGGATATGATTGCTAATAAAAAGAAGAAATACTCAGTTCAGGACTTTATAACTGATCCTATGAGTCCTGTAGTTTAGATAGCTGAGACACAAGCTTGAATTAATGAAAATATGAATTATGAAGTGTTTTGAAAGGCAAGAGTACAATTTTATTATTTTTGCTAAATATACCATGAGTTCTTGCTTTAATAATAATATGTATAATTTATCGTTACTAAACGCTTCGATGGTATGCTTCAGTGGGGTAGTCAAAAATCCAAATTATACCATTGATTTAGTTACTAATCACTTTAAAAATAATACAGAATGTAACCAACATTGTGTTTAGAATATCAGAAATTATAGGTTACTGGTGTCTGAATTAATGAGATTTTATAGCAGTAAAATAACACACAAAAAAATCTGCCTTTGCTGTGATAAAGGAGGCAAGAAAATCTCACTTGTTAGAAATCTAAGTCTTAGATCATTCAAGAATCATCTAAAACTTGAACTAGAAGTTAACCAAATAGTTCCCAAGAGTTAATGCTCAGCCAAAGGTGAATATTTATTGGCCAACCATCACAGGATATTTTTTATATAAACATTGTTGTTGTTGTTTGCCACCGAGTCGGCCCCAACTCATAGCGACCCCTCCTCGGGTTTCCGAGGCAGTATCACTACGGAAGTAGGAATGCCCAACCTTCCTTCCAAGGAGTGGCTGGTGGGTTTGAACCGCCAACCTTCTGGTTAGCAGTCAAGTGCCTTAGCCACTATGCTACCAGAGCTCCTAACATTAGTTCTTTGTAAATCTATGTTCCCCTGAGCTACATTTCATTTATTTAATCCTCCAGAAGACATGTGATTAAGCTACCCAGTGAGATCTTAGCCTACCACAGGTGATCAACAAAGTACCAGTTGCCATCAATTCTGACTCATGGTGACCCAATGTGTTACAGAGTAGAACTGCACTCCATAGGGTTTTCATTGCTGTGAATTTCTGGAAGCAGATGGCCAGGCCTTTCTTTTGAGGTGCCTCTAGGAAGTTCGAACAGTCAATCTTCTGGTTAGCACACTAAGGCTTAACTGTTTGTGCCACCCAAGGACTCCTATCAACATTGAAATGAGGCCAAAATCTGCTGCCAGTCAGTATAAGTCACAGAATTGTACATGGGAATTCAAGGACCACAGACAGGAACAGCAGTGATTTTCAAGTTGGGCTGCATGTTAGATCCCCTGGGAAACTTTAAAAAATCTGGATGCACAGCCCCAACCCCAGACCAATTAAAACAGAACAGCCTGGCATCAATGATTTTAAATCTTCCCAGGACATTCCAGTGTGCAGCCATGGTTAAAAATCACTATTAATGGGCACAGTCAGACACTGTGATCCTCAATTTCAAATAAATTCTTAGTGTGACATTGGATTTCTAATATACTACACATATCTTAAATTATTAAAAAATATATACTCTACATTATACCTCTTGAAGACATTTTTACATACTATTTGCTAACCTACTTAAGTGGCTGTTCTATTCAGACATAGTTTAAATATATGTTATTTCATTTCCATCAACCAAACTCAATTAAATACATTGAGTTTATGATTTCATTACTCTAAATTAGCTAACTAATAATGATTATTATTAGTAACAATAATAGCTAATTTAGAGTAGCTAACTAATAACTTTATTGTTGGCCTATGTTTATTTCACAGGTATAATTTCAATAAAGTTGCCTTCCTTGATGTTGTAATGGTGCTAATGAATTACATGAGAAGAAAATTCAAGAATCACAAAAACAGAGCATACATTTTTGCAAAATAAGTTTTTGTCTTATATAAGGCTAAGAAACAAAATCCAGCCAGCATTCAAAGAAGTTGATTGAGATCATTATTTTCTCAGTAGTAAAACCAGGTTAGCAGGAAGATGTCTGAAACTTACTGGGCTAAAGAGATTCTGCATTTTCTGACTGTGTGCAATGTAAGGAGTCATGAACTTTGAAGAGTCCACTTTCTTCCGGATAACCTTCTTCCTCTCCGTCGGCTTAGCAGGTACTGGCTGTGCCAGTGCTGGTTTGGAAGTTTCTGATATCTCATAGTCAGATGGTATTGTCCTTGTCGTTGTGGTTTCATAGACTGTATAGGTCTGGAAATTTTACATGCAGTTCAACATTGTTATATAAGTAAAAACTAGTACTATATTCTTGACATGTGTTACTCTGACTTCAGGCAGATTTATACTCCTGGAGTTAAATCATACCCAAAAAGCAAGAGACCATACATCATATCCATACAAAAATGCATTATGTAACATAAGTCTGAACACTTGTTATTAGAGACTATGTGGAGTAAAAAGGGTGGTCCTTATTAATATGCAACATAGCTTAAAATCCAATTTGCAGAAAGACACTCAAACACATCAAGGTAGGATTAAAATGAGAAATAATATATTCTTAAATATTTTAAAATCATAAGTTGAGTAAAGGAAAGGCAAACTTAGGATCAGAGAACAAAGGGTGAAAACAATCAAATAAGGCTCACATTCTTGACTTTAATTTTAACTTTTAAATGAGAATAAGAAAAAGGTAGGTTGTTTGTTCTCTAGGCATATAGCCATTTTCTCTTGTATTGTGAGACAAACAATAATGAACTTTTAAACAAAATGAATCACATCAATATTATAAGTGATTACCATTTTCTTGGCTTAGTCATTTAATTAATGTGAACTGAGTGCCATTTACACTAATAAATGCTTAGGTGAACCAGAATAATGATGAAAACATAATAGAGCAATTATCTTCACAATAGTTCTATGTAGTAGGTGGGAAATTGCTGTTTCTTACAACGGGTGATAGTGGAAGAAACTAAGGTTCAAAATTTGGATCTAGTCCAAGGTTAAAAATAGCATCCATAAGAAAGGAAGATAAGTAGCCAAGTCTTAAACCTGTCTGATACTTCAATTTCCTACACAGCTAATATCATCTGCGTCAAAGAAAGAGCTTTATCATCGGTTATGAAAAGAAAAACTTAAGTAATAAGTAAATTGTACATCTGTGGAAATTCTCTGTAGTGTTGCCAGATCTTAGTAAGTAGATTGCTTTCTGCCATTAGTATTAATGTATCATTGACTGTGAGAAACTAATCAATTTACACCATCTACAGATGTTAGTTTTCATGCAGTCACAGGCTGTCTGAGCACACTTCAGGGTTAAACATCCATATCACTATTTGGTGTGCTCAAAGAGAAACAGCTCTATGCACAAAATGAAGTAAAGCGTCATGAGATAGATATTTCACCTTTCAAAAAAAAGAGAAAAGTTCCAACTTGGAATATTTATGTGAATGGCTTTCTCAGAATGTTTAATGTGCTAAAATCTGAACAACCTGTAATTTGTCATCATGGACAAAGCTTTGGAGGCACCATCCCTGTTGGTGTAGGTGGTTTGCCACACACTACAAGTCTATACAATGAACCTACTGGTTCCTCAATAGATCACAAGTCTAGTGTAACCCTTTTGGCTGCAGTCAGAGAGCGACGATAAACTCACTGCCATTGAGTCAATTCTGACTTGTGGCAACACTTTAGAATGGAGTAGAACTGCACTAAAGGGTTTCCAAGGCTGTAAACATGGAAGCACACTGCTTCATCTTTCTCCCATGAAGTAGCTGGTGGGTATGAACTGCTAGACCTTTGGTTAACAGCCAAATGCCTTAACCACTGTCCCAGCAGACCTCCTAAGAGTGATGATAGACACTGATGTTACCCTAATTAGCATCACTGCCACCAAAAATACCACATGAATGATGGGAGAAACCATCTCTGGTCATCTGGAAATGTTGAATAGCAAAAAAAAAAAAAAAAAAAAAGGTGAAATAATCTGTGAAGTAGATAAATTAGTTATTTTACCACTAGTTGCCGGACATACATAAGTGAATGATAACCCCTCCAGTCAAAGCCAAGCGCCATTTTTAACTAATGGCAACCCCATGTGTGTCAGAGCAGAACTCTGCTCCATAGGGTCTCAATGGCTGCTTTGTCATAGTAGGTCACGAGGGCTTTCTTCCAAGGTGCTTCTGGGTGGACTCAAACCTCCAGACTTTCAGTTAGCAGCCTAGTGTTAACCATTTGCACCACTCAGAGACATTATCCTCCTCAGATGCCCTCTTTTACTCGCCTCTGGCCCCAGGAGTTGGAGAGGAAAGAGGGTTCTTTCTGCTTTAATGAACATGCAGTTAGTGCAAGGCAGGATTGGGCCTTACCTCCCCCGGCACCTCTTCATAAACTGTCTCTTCTGTGTAATACTATAAATAGAGCACAAAGGTATCATGATGAGAACCAAAGCAGAAATCTCCACTACTCAACTTAGTCACTAGGGTTACTTCACTAGCTCAGTTGGTTCAGAGTATCTATATGAAGAAAGGAAGCAAGGCAGTCTGCTCATATATTGGAACTAATTTTTGTTGTGAAACTTCAGGAAAACCAAAGTGAATGCCACTGGACTGGACCAGAAATTGTACAGTCATGAGAAAGATGTCTAAGGCTGGTTATTAATCAGGGGAAATTATTTATGTGGGCCAAGTAAATGGTTTTATGATACCCAAGATGGAATTTGTTGTGTGTGGATTGAGCGCAGAGGAATGTGATGGAACTCACTGTTTACTAACAGTAAAAAAAGAAAAGAATACATTTTAAAAATAGTATCATGGTAATAAGATTTAAAATATATATATATATATATATATATATACACATCTCAATTATTCCTATACCTGTTGACTACTAAGTAATAAGAGTTTCACTTGAAGTGAAGGTTGAGTCCCGTACAATATTGCAGTGGTCCTAAGCAGCATGCTAAGATGAAAATTTGCAAAGGCCAACAAAAGAAGGAAAATATTAGATGCTTCCTCTTCCAAAAACGTGGGAAAGTTAGGCTGCAATTTGCCATCGATGGCTTTGAGGTGCCTGCAGCCTGGCTCTGAAACCAAGCCTACTTGGGTTCTACTCCTGACATCACCAGAAATAAATAGATGCTGATCAGAACTGGCTGACATTTTGTTTCAGACGTGTAAGGAGAGTGGAATTCTGTCCCCAGCCTCACCCAGCTTTTCTGGGTAAACAGAAGGAAAGGCATGTTTAGGCTAAGGCACACAAGGAAAGGGACAAAAATGAGGCACTTGGCTCATTTTCTCAATCAACAAAATATGAAATATTTCATTTTCATTATCTGTGCCACCAACCCTGGGGGAGGGATACTGAGATGAGGCATTTCCCTCAGTGGCCTCCTTTCTCTTGTCCTTGGTTTGCTTAGTCTCATGAAATTATTTAACGATTATCAATAGGTCACCAGCTCTAACAGGACTTGCTGAAATTAGTATAGAGCTTGCCTAATATCCCTCACTCTCCCTCTCTCTTTACTGCAGTATTATTTTTTTAATTTGAAATCTAATTATGTCTGTATGTCCTCTCACATAGCAACAGAGACTACAGGCTCTAATAGGAAAGAGAATTTCTCTTTTGCAAGCTTGTACCTACAGCACATGCAACATATAATTTAAACACGTTAGGAGAGACTGTTTGGTGATAATGCCACAAAGACCCATTTCTCTGGCCACACAAAACATCCATGGCTTGAAAAGAAATCTTAAACTAGCATGAATAATTTGTAACCTTTTTGGATTTTCTTAACTTCCAAGTAAAAGCAGTTCACTGGTAGCCATCCAAATTTTCTTTTGCTGGGCTCTCACCACTGGTAAATATATCTTAGAAATAAGCTTATAAGAAAGAAAACATTATGCAAATGGTTGGCAATAACTTGCATGACAAATCTCACTTTTTTAAAAAAAAATTTTTTTAGAGCTGTGCCACTAATTAGATAGTATATTTTTGTTTCTTTTCCTTTCTCTCCAATTTTGTTTAAGGTTGAGAAGAGAATGACAGTGCAATTTTATTTCAGATGTCCAAGATGCCTGAGAGACAGAATTTTAAATCTAGTTCCTCTTTGTTCTTTTAAATGAATCTCTATTTTCTAGAATCTGCCACCATCCCATTCTTACGGCATTCTTTTTTGTTTTTTAACTTTTTATTGTGATATGGGTGACAGTTTACAGAGCAAATTCATTTTCCATTCAACAGTTTATGCACATTTTTTTTTCATGGCATTGATTGCAGTCAGTCCCCACAATGTAACAGCTCTCTTCCCAATTCCTCTCTGTAGTTACCTTTTCCCTGCGCCCTTTTCTATGCACTCCTGCTTTCTGAGCTTTCTCTCTGTGCAAATGCTGCCCTTCTGATCAGCCATGGGAGATTAGATCCCTGGTATATTTGCTCACCTGGTAGGTCTGTCTATTGTTTGGCTGAAAGTTAAGCCTCAGGAGTTGATTCTAGGCCCAAAGGGCGACCAGGGGGGGGTGTGTGTGTAGTTTTTGGGGTTCCATCAGTCCCTATCAGACCAGTAAGCCTGGTCTTTTGCATTTATGGCATCTTTTTTTGAAGTCAAAGAGACCTCTGTTCAACACTCTCTGGCAGACACTATATTCATTTAGCCACTGCTGGTCAGATTCAGAGCAGTAATAGGAACAAAATGGCAAGGATGGAATACATAAAAATAGCAGCCTCCATTTTTATGACATCCAGTTAAATCAATCAAATGCAGCACTAAGTACAACGTCCAGTGACAGATGAATACAATTATGTTAAGAAAGACAAAGGATATGCAAGTTGGAGGCTAAAGAATGTTCCTTGTATTACTGTCATGGAGAAAACTATTTAATTTGTAACTGTTTTAGTGTTTTTTAATGATTATTCTGAGTTTTAGGGACATAAATAAAATGCCAATGAGGTCATTGGCATTTAAGCCAGAGAGACTAAATTTTATATTGTATAAAATCCATTCTACTTTTCAGTCATCCGTCAGTTATAAAAGGGACTTTTTATAAAATAAAATTTTCTTGATCTAAATATAGGCTGTTCACTAAAATAATTTTCCAAAGACAAATTTTGGCACTTTCAAGAGGAATTTGGTTTTGGAAAGCACTTAAAATTAATTTCTATTCTATTCACAACCAAAGATCTTCAAAACTGCCTCCAAGGCAATCAGGCATTTGGAAATTTTCATATGTTTAGATCATCATCATTAATTGACAATTATGAATCTCTTAGATTTATGGCAATGTACTTATGTGGATTATACTCCCAAGCCTTTATCTTTTATTTCTAGAAATGTGAAGGCAAAGGCAAGAATTGGTGAAGAAAAACCACAGAGCTATAAAACAAAGTTGTATGAAGTAAATACAAAATAAACAATTAAATTGGTAAAATGTGTTAGATATCCACCAGTAATCTGGAGGAAATTTTTCAAGATGCCCATTATGTTCTTTGTTCTTGTTTAAAAATTCAAAAGCAAAGCTAATCTTGTTCCCTTGGGTTACTGCAGTGGTGTTGGTGGTTAAGTGTGGTTTCCAATTGTTGTTTTTGAGACTCTTGAGTTGCATGTGTGTATGTACATATTACATACATTAAAAGTCTCATATGTATAATCAGCTGGTGAAACAAAAATGTAAGTTGCTCTCTTTCCTCTACTGCTATGTAGACAGTAAGAAATAAATTGCAATTATCAGAACTTTCTCTTCATCTCCCTTGCCCCTTTGATCAATGGGGTTAGGAGGTGGGGAAGGAGGTAGTGTTAGAAAACACATTTAAATCTACCTTTACCCCACCCTTTATTTTTTAAAAGTTTGAAGAAAAGCAAAAGTGGGAAACAGTGATATTTCCTTTCAAGTCTAAATCCTACATAATTATAGTGAAACTACATGTAAAATATTCCTTTCTTGTGCTTTAATGTGAATTTATAATAGACATTGCCTTTTTCGAATGATTAATTCACCTACATGACTTTGAATGTTGCTACATAAAATACTTTGCTGTCAGAGTTTTTTGGATTTTTCTTTTCTGTATCTTACCTCCACCACCTCCTCATATTCTTCATCATCTGCCATTTTCCCAGAGTAGTAGCGGCACCTACAAACTTTTAATATTCCATACAAATGAAAAGACATTAGAATCTATCTCCAGGACTAAGAGTGTCTTATAACATTATAAAAATAGAATTTAAAAGTTAACCTATTGTAAACAGTAATACATTCTCACAGGCTAAATGAGAGAAGACAATCAAAGTAGAGCTCTGAAAAACTGAAGCTTCAAATTTCTTTCTCCTAATTCCCTCAATAACACATTGGACATTCTACTTCAAGCTACATGATACATTTATTTAAAGTTTAAAAAGGAAATTGAGATAAGGGAGGGTAGAGGATTTAGATTAGAAAGAATAGAGTGTTTAAATTTGCAAATACTCGGGAAAAACATTTTCAAGCAAAAATTTTAGTGAAAGAAAGGCCAGCTTGGTATTCAGGTAAAATTGGAATATTTACCCATAGCACCAAAACTTTAAGGGGACTGATTTAGGCATTTATACTGCTCTAATATATTCTATGTACTATATCTGATGCTTCAAATTAGGACACATAAAAATAAATCTGGCAGTAGATTTTAAATGGAAAATAAGAACCTCAAGGCAATGGGACTATTTTCTTCCCGAACACCATTGACTTGCACAGCTTTTTCTCTCTTGTTTCTGTAGGTCTTGTGCAAACCTGAAAAATATCAAAATTTTCATTCATTGGTTTACATACATATAGATTGTCAGTCTTTGGCCTAAACTTCTAATTCAGGAACTAATGGAAGACTCTCTTAAGGCCTTCTTAGTTTGTCACCAGAAAACAAGATTCTCTCTTCATACAAGCGGGTGATGACTTGAAGCAGCTGTCCCTTCACCCAGAGATATTTGCCATGTAAACCAATACCCTACCATGACTGGTTTTGTTAAGCTAGCAAAACTGCCGCTCCTTCTGAGGCAAATGAAGCCCAGTAGAATAAGATAAATATAGGAACATAGAACATAGAGCCTTTTCTTGCTAATATATTTAGAAAAAAAAATCAAAGACAAAAAGATGAAAAAAAATGATTTGGTTAAGCAAGAGAGCCAGTTCAGTCGAGCAATAATTTGCTTAGTATAGAATCAGTCTCTAATAACAGACTCCATATGTCAGATATTAGTAGGGTCTTAGAAGGGCAATGGAGTCACAGACTTCCCTCGTCATATTTCCATCAGTAATTTTCCCACTTAGGATCCAAAACTTCAAGAAATACTTCAAGGGAAGTTGTGTAATCTCTCCTAAGAGAAGAGTACAAAAAAAGCTGTAAGTGGCCTTACCTTCAAACTATCAAATAAATTTCCTCAGCAGCAAAGCCTCTCCCAACTCTCCCCTCCTGAGAACCCCAGGCAAGAGCCAGCGAGGAGCCTGGGCTCTGAATTCTCATGTGGCAAGAATAGCCAATCAGGTCGTGAGTTGCTCATATTTCAGAAGCTAAATATACTGAGTGATCTTCTGAAAACCACCTGTTCATCAATTCCACTAAAGGATAAAGGGTAACAAATTGCTTGCTTAGATCTATTGAAATGTAATGGAATTTTACATAACTTCCAGCATCTGGGGCTAAAATTTAGGTCTGTTTTCTCATTTACTGCAGCCCAGTTCAATACCACATCCATGTAAAAGAATTTGAGAGAAAATAAGCACGAGGGGTCTGACCCTTCTGTAATTGTTTACTTCACATCGTTTGTCCAATCTTCATGCAGGTATATATGTTCACCCTTGTACAGCTACAAGGTGAGCTCCTGGTAAGTTACCTGTGTTAATATAAAAGAAGTAGAGGAATAAGATCCAAAAAACAGTAAGTTGGCAAAAGCAATTAAAAAATAGTAATGATCCAGAGCAAAAAAGACTGAAGAAAATCAAAGGCACAAGGAAACAATTAGTCCAAAGGACTAGTGAACCATATGAACCCCAACCTCTATGACCCTGAGACCAGAAGAACTAGATGGTGCCCAGCTACCACTGCTGACCACTCTGAAAGGGATCACAACAGGAGGTCCAGGATAGAGTGGTAGAAAAATGTGGAGCAAAACTCAAAATTATAAAAAGACCAGGATTTCTGGTCTGATAGACAGTGGTGGAACCTCTGAGACTGTGACCCATAGTCATTCTTCAGGCCTGGAACAGAACTCAACCCCATGGCTCAGTTTTCAGCCAAACGATAGGCCTATATGGTGAACAATAATAGCGGGAAGGTACCTACTCATTAGAACAATCAACCATATGCGATCAAAAGGACAGCATTTACTAAATGCTAAGAAGGCAGAAAGGGATAGAAAAAAAGAATGAAAAGAAATGGTAAACACAGGGAGGAAGTGGGAAGAGCTGTTATATTGTGGGGATTGCAATGACTATCACAAAGTAAAATGCATATGAATTAATAACCAGAAAGCCAGCTTGCTCTGTAAACTTTCACCCCAATCCCAATAAAAAATAATAAATAAATAAAAATTTAAAGCAGTAGTCAAACGAAATTATATGTGAAAATATCTGAGAGTTACACTAGATAACTCTCACAGGACGTGATTATTAAGAATAGGCTTCACTATTTTTCTGTTACAAAGTCAGGATGTTATGCCGAGATCATATTCGTCATCTTTTCCCTCCAAAGGTAAGGTAAGCTGCTAGGAAACTTAAGTTACTAATTTTCTGTTAACTCAGATTATTCTTAATTCGTAGAAGCAAAGTGTGAATACAGGCACAAAAAGGGTCAACTTCTGAACAGCTCTTGTTGCTAGGTAATGTCAAAGTGGTTTTGACTCCTAGCAACCCTATTTCCAACAGAAAAAAAAACAGTCCCGGTCCCACACCATCTTCACAATTGTTGCTATGTTTGAGCTCATTGTTGCAGCCACGGTGTCACTCCATCTCATTGAGGATCTTCTCTTTTTTGCTGACTTTCTACTTTTCCAAAGTACAAGAGGCAAAGTCTTGCCATCCTCACTTCCAAGGAGCATTCTTGCTGTACTTCATCCAAGACAGATTTGTTTGTTCTTCTGGCAGTCCGTGATATATTCAATATTCTTCCCCAGCACCATAAATCAAAGGCATCAGTTTTTCATTCTTCCTTATTCATTATCCAGCTTTTGCATGCAAATGAGGTAACTGGAAATACTATGGCTTAGGTCAGATACACCTTAGCCCTCTAAGTGACATGTTTTCTTTTTAATACTTTAAAGAGGTGTTTTCCAGCATATTTACCTGATGCAATACATCATTTGATTTCTTGACTGCTGCTTCCATGGGCATTCTGAACAACAAGGAAGATAAAATAGAAATAGTAAATTACCAGCAGAAAATAACACCCTATTAGGCCAATCAGAGTGTAAGACATTCATTTTGTGAAAAGTATCTAACAATTTTCTACATGAAGACAATTTTTACTGATTTAATCTCTCCCTATCCACTCAGGAATGCTTCTATACTGAGGCAAAAAACCCTGTGGACACCCTATAGTATGACATGTATTTGAGACTAAATGTCTGGAGAGTTAGAGTTATAATAGTTCTTTTTTAGTTAGATGTTAGAAAGTAATCTCACATTTTCAACACATGTACTTCTCACCATTCCATGATTCATATGGAAGTAAATAAAATTTAACATCATTTTATCATCTTAACTAATTATACCTGCTCATCTTGTATGTTCTCACAGGACTGATGACCAAGGGATATTTGTGTAAGATGAGATCACTCTCTTGGTAGCTGCAAAACAGAAGAATTGTGACTTACTATTCATTTTGTATTTTTTTAAAATATCATTAAATTGAAAAATAATACATGAACATTTTTTACAACATGCAGTACAAAATAAACAAATACTACCTTAAATGTAATCAATACTAAATTCAGATATTATCAATAGGCATTAACATAAATTTATATGTAGTGCAGTATGTAGTGGGCACTTGTTATGCAGTTCATACAGACATATCTTGTTGTTGTTGTTTGCCATAGAGTCGGCCCCGACTCATAGCGACCCCTCCTTGGGTTTCCAAGGCAGTATCACTACAGAAGTAGGATTGCCCAACCTTCCTTCCGATCCTACTCTATTTAATTTCCACAAAAATTATATTGAATGGACATAGAATACTGTTTTTTTAGCCAGTGTCTTATTGGTTGGCATTTAGGTTTTTTTAAGTATTTTTTTGCCATTGCAAAACAAAATGCACAAATAAATGAATATTATCTTGCATGCTTTCAGGAACTTTATCTATAGGGTAAATTTCCAGAAGTAGAATTGCTTAGCTACAGGATATATGCACATTTAAAAAATATATATATATAGTTAAATTGCTCTCCAAAATAATTGCACGAATTTACATTTTCACCAACAGACAATGAGAGTTCCTGGGTGCCTATGCCCCAATAATATTAGGGATTATCAAACTTGTAAAATCTGTACAATCTGATGGATAAAATATTCACTTTCTGTCTATTTCTTTTGAAAACACTATGGTAAGAAGACTGGGCAATCTACTTCCATAGTGATACCTCCTCAGAAACCCAAGGAGGGGTTGATATGAATCAGATCTGACTCCACGGCAGTGGGCTTGGGTATGGTAATAAAAAAAGGTGGGGAGGGGGATTCTAGATAATGGGAACCTCATTCCCCACTTAGAGTGAAATGTAGATCCATAGAACAGGATCTGAAAATTAGGCTAGAGTTAAGCTCACATGAAAACACCCTGATTTAAGTCTCTTGGGATAAATCCCTCCTTGGCCCAGCTAAATCTGCCTTCTGAATGTTGCCCTCCCTCAGAAGTGAGAGTGTGAGAGAAGCAAGGACATGTCAAGTGTATGAGCGAACAAAGTTTGTAGCTGTCCTCTATCTACCCTAAAGAAAAAACATTGCCAACCCTTACTAAACTCTTCAGTTAGCCAAAAAACAACCAAACTCGCTGCCATCAAGTCAGTTCTGACTCATAGTGACCCCTCCTTGGGTTTCCAGGGCAGTATCTCTACAGAAGTAGATTGCCCAGTCTTCCAGGGAGTGCCTGTGGG